CTGCGGATGCGGAGGGGCTTGCGGAGGCCGTCGTCGACGTGCTGTCCTGCATTGCGGTGCCGACGCTCACAGACATCGTTATCCACTTTGACGAGCCGGAGGTGCGAGCGTCTATTGGTACAACGCTACCCGCCATTGCGCAGGGCTCACAGCACTTCGTGTACGGCGTCGCCCCCGCCTCCCTCGCCACACTCGGTGTGTCCGCCACAGGCCGTGTCGGCTCCACTGTCATTGAATACGTGGGGAAGGGCGACGTGCAAGAGCTTATCTTTACGACACCAGAAGCAGAGAAGCGTGACGCCACCTCGATTGGTCTCCTACACCTCGCTGCGGCGTCTGCGAGGATGCGCTATCTCATCGACACGCGTGAGGTGTCGGCGCTAACGCTGGAGGAAATGCAGGAGGTGGCGCGGCTCTCCGTGACCTTCCTACTCCCCTCACCCTTCACGGGGATGGTGCAATCACGCCCGGCGGTGGAAGGAACAGCAGGCTCAGCGTCGGCATATGCAGCTCCAACTGCTGTTGCGNGGGGATGGTGCAATCACGCCCGGCGGTGGAAGGAACAGCAGGCTCAGCGTCGGCATATGCAGCTCCAACTGCTGTTGCGGTGCGCTATGTGCCGCGCAGTTGGACCTACGCACAGACGATGATTCAGCACCGACGAGAGCGACTGGCGAACGGCGACCTCGACCGGCGCCCGCAGCAGCAGCAGCAACAAAACACGAATGGTGAGAGGAGTTCTATCGAGCAGCACCCGTCTGCCTCCGCCAGGCTTGTGCCGCCGCCCACGTGTAAGGAATTCATCGGCACCATTGTTCGTGACGTGGTAGACTCCGTGATGCAGGCGCCTTGTCTTGAGCGGTTGACGTCCCTGCAGGCCGCCGACGGCTCCTTCCCGCTCAACGCGATACTCGGTGTTAGCGTTGGCGTTCCGCTGGAGCAGCTCGAGCGTGGGGTTCCCCTCACCGGCTTCGGCGTCAGCGAGGACCTCACCGCGGCGCGGGTGTACCTGTCGAATCACGAGCGCGTGTGGGCCACCGCCGTGGCGGCAGCAGCCATGGAGCGCTGCCCCCACGCTATTACTGCACTCGCATACAAGAAGGCGCTTGTGTACACGGCAGGGCATGACGCGGAGGGAGAATTGCTTCAACGTGCGCGCGATCTCTTCGTGAGGTTGCCCTCGCTCTCACACTGATGTAGAGAGGCAAGACAAAGACGGAGGGAGTGTGATTTTCTCTTAAGACGGAAGAGAGTGGAAAAAAAAAAAGAGAGATCCTTTCCTTGTTGTTCTTCTTGCGGAAGTTGTTTATGGTGGTGTGGCTGTCCTCCTGTTGGCGCGGCTCCGGGGGTGTGGGGGGCTGTGAGGAACTCAAGACGTACTTCTCTTTTGATTTCTTTTTCCGGCACGCCCCGCCGGGCTGCGGTCCAGCGGAAGCAGCGATGTATATGTGGTGCATGTGTGTCTATAGTTGTACGTGGCGCCTTCGCACTTCTTCTTTGCCCTTTCGCACTCTCTCCATCTCCGCCCGTATCGCCAGCTTTGCATACGCGGCGCTCTTTCTCTCTCTCTCTCTCTCTCTCCTCTTCCAGCATTGCTGTTGCTCTTTTTTCCTCGTTCTTGTTCTTTGCATGTGTCTTTTGTCGGTGATTCGTGGGCGGGGTGGTTGCAATTAGACACGTCGGAGCTCATCATGTTAGGCGTTGTGTGGCACACGGGACGCTGCCAGTGGCGTGCGACGCCGTGTTCGTCAAGGATATTCTGCGAAACTTGCGGCAGCACCTGTAGGGACGCTGGAGGGGGGAGGGGGTTCGGTCTCAGGGGCCAGTGAGGGTTGCAACGGTGTCGTTGAGGCTCCGTCTGACGAGAGGGGCATGCCGCTGAATCCCACAAAATATTCGCTGCTGCTTTCCAGTCAGAGCACCACGTGGTCTGCCTTCCCCTCACCCCACCCTCGCTGGCTGTGTGTGCGTGGCGTCTGGTCCACACAATGACGTTACCATAATCAGTACCACCGCTTTTGTGGCTGCGGCTGATCCACCACCACCTCCTCCTCTTCTTCCTTCTCGTGGGTGCTTTATCTCGGAGGCCTGAGTGCCTTCCCCAGCACGAGGCATTGTCACGGTCGGCGTGTGGTTGCGTGTGCACGTCCTTTTTCTTGGTTTTTTTTGTCTGCTTCCTTGCCTCTCCCCTCGAGAAAATGTTGAGGAGCGCCCGGTGGCCCTCAAAAGGCGCGCGTGGCCGACGCTTTGTCGGTTGGTCGGCACTGCTTGCCTCCGCGCTGCTATTGTCGCTGCTGTGCTTTTGCCTCTTCGTGGCGGTGGTCGACCACGGCGTGGAGATGGCGCTGCTGGACCCTGGTACTGGTGCTGTCGCTGCTGCTGCTGCTGGTAGCGGCGAGCGGCCGTGGGAGAAGCCCCGCGACGCCACAGTTGCTGGCATTGGGCCGCAGACGCTGGCGGTGTGTCGCGCCTCCGTTTGTCGGCTCTGTGACACGATGCTGCTGCACAACGCCGCGAGTGTCGTGCACCCGGCGGTGCTGGCGTACATCCGCCGCCACGTCGTCATTGGGGTCGTGACGGGGTCGTACGAGAAGTTCTTCCGTGTCGACCTCTCGCTGTGCACATGGATGGGGCATGTCCCGGCGCGGAATCTCTTCATTTTCACCGACGCCGCCAACACGTCGGATGGGCGTCACGGCACGTGGATCGAAACGGACACCACGGCGGCGTCGCAGCGGCTGCACAGTGGCATGCTGCGACACACCGGGTACTCGCAGGGGTGGATGCGCGCCCAGTACCGTTTCTTCCACGCCTTCAGTCATTTTTCGCAGCTCGTCACACGCGGCAATAGCAGCAACAGCGGCGGGGATACCGCGTACCGCGACGTGCGGTGGGCTATCGTCGTGGACGATGACACGTTCCTTGACCTCCATGCGCTTGTTCGCCTGCTGCACCGGCGTGACCTGAGCAACCTGGACCGCATGGCCGCAGCGGCAAGGCATTCTGAGCCACCGCTACTGCAAGAGAGATGCGGCCGCTGGACGGGTGCAAGCGGGGGGGAGGTGGCTGCCTGCATCGCTTTGCCAGATTCATGGGACCGTCTCCAGAGGAAGCAGCGCGTCAGCCGTGGTTTGCACGATCGCGACAGCGAGGCGCTGGTAGTGGGCAGTCCTTTGTGGAACGCCACAACCGACAGGGCGCTGCTGGGCCCAGCAGCAGCAGCAGCCCTGGATCCACTGTATCTAGGTGATCGCGGGTGGGGCGGCGCAGGGCACTACATGAATGTTGCCGCCTTGCGCCTCTTCGCGCAAGGCGGTGAGGAGAAGTGTGTGCAACGGTACCTCATCCGCGGTGGGTTGGCGAGTGATGCCGCGCTGCACCGCTGCGTGCCGTCGCTGGGCATTCACCGCACAGGCGACGGTGTATTGTCGCACTGCCAGGCGCGATATCTGCGGCACCACCTCCTCGGCGGCGATCTGGTCAGCATACACGCGAAGCGCGATGTGGTGCCTCCCCCGCTGCTCGCGGTGTGGCGAATGCGGCTGTACTATCAGGTGTTGTATCACCGCAACCGCACGGCCTACGACGTGCTGATGCGTGTTGGGGCTTGTGCGTACGGCTATTCGTGCAAGCTGCGCAGCTGCAGTCACGCGGAGGACGCAGCCGCTTTGAACGAGTTCATTCGCCAGAGCGACAACAACACCCGTGTGCCGCTGTATTAGGTGGTGTTTGCTCCTGATGCTGCGGATGGTGTCTGCAGCTGCAGAGGAAATGAAGACGGGAAAAATGGAAGGAGGCATCCCTATTCTCCTTCACCCCACCCCTCCCCATTTCTCGACATCGCTTCCCAGTATCCATTGTCTCATCCTCTTTCCTTGTCTCCCTACTACTACTACTACTATTGTTGTTGTTGTTGTTACTGCTTCTCATTCCCACTCCCAATCCCATCTCCATGCGCATTCGTTGCACAAGCTTAGCACTGAAGGGAGACCACTCTTCGCTAATATCACCATTAGAGAGGGGCGGAGAGGGAAAGAAGAAGAAAAAGGAATCGAGTGTGTGCGTGTGTCTTGTTGGTTTGTTTGTTTGTTTGTGTGTGTCTGTGTGTGTGTGCACGTGTAATACAGGGCCAAAGAAAGGAAAATAAAGGCAAGACAGGACAGCCATCTCTACTTCTTCGCAGTTGCGTCAGGCGCCTGCTAGCACCAGAGGCATCACAGGCATTATTATTATTATTATTGTTGTTGTTGTTGTTATTATTAGCATCGTCATCCTCGGTGCCCTTCTTCCTCGCAGGCACAAGGACACGACCGCAACGAGCCGAGTCCTGCGTCGCCGCTAACCTCACCTCTTTTCCGCTTCCTATCGCTGCGCCTGGGCATGCCGGAAGTTGGGCTCGACCGTGGATTTCTGCACCGCTGCTGTGTGCAGGTGTCGTCTGCGCTCACCGACGATGCCGCCGTGGCAGCGGAGACGCAGCACACTATGCGCTTTGTCCGCGATCATGCCCGCGAGTACCCTGGCGAGATAACACGGGCGTTGGTGTGGCGCATCGTGGACACCGACGACGACGAAGTGGAGGACCGTTTAGGGGCGTGGAGCGTGCTCCATGCTGTGCTCGCGGAGTGTGCGGACAGCAAGCAGCCGCTGTCGTGCACTGCGGTGGCGGAGAAAATCAATCTCTTTCTTCCATACCTCATCTCTTACCGCTGGTACTCCATGCACAACGCCTCGCTGGAGGCCGGCACGCGTGGCAAGTCGGCGTCGGCGCTGCTGAGCGAGTACGGCAAGGTGGTGCCAGCCTCTGTGCTCACCGGTGACGACTCGCGCCTCGCGGACGCGCCCAAGGAGCGTGAGATACAGTCCAAGTACCGCGGTTTCCTCACCACGTGGAAGGTCGTCTGGCGGCACGATGTGTACCAACGCCTCAAGGACGCGGTGCGACAGACGGAGCGCGGCGGCAACAGCCTCGCACCGAGAGAGCGGCCGTATCTCGAGATTCCTGCGACGTTCCGCGATAGTCTGCGTCGCCTGCGCCGCAAGAATCCGCGTCCATCCATAGCATTCCATGTTCTCAGCTGCTACGGGTGGGTGCCGCCTACTGGCGAGGATGCGGCGGCGGTGACCCTCAACAACGAAGGGCAGCGCAGTAGCAACAATGACCACACCAAACGCTGCCCAGCGGTGCCAACGAGCATGGCGGAAATTGACGCGCTCGACCCCGCTGCCCACCCGCGTGTGCGTCAATGGCTGCGCAAGTTGGTGGAATCGCACGGGGGCTGCCGGCTGTGTGATGTGTGGCAACACACCGAGGCGCGGTGCCCCTGCGAGCTGCCGTTTATCAAGGTTCCAGTTGTAGGGGGCGATGTATTCCACAGTCAATACCGGCGGCGGCGGACAGAGCGGGTGTCAATGACGTATATAGAGGCGGTTGAAAAGCTATTCCGCTACGGCATTCGACTTCCCCTCTCCCTCGAAAAGGCGCTCGACCGCATCGTCGCCCTCATCACGGAAGAGTCGCCGTATGATGAGCTCCTGGAGGCTTTTGACACCGTGCGGGGTGCTGTAACTGGCCCACTCGAGCGGCACGCATTGTGGCTGCATGCAAGTTACATGTTAATGCCGTCGCGAACCGTCTTTGGCAAGCCGAGCGACGACGCCCTCAGCCCCGCAATGGAAAAGGCAGAAAAGCACTTCATTTCCAGCCGTCGCTTCCGCGAGTGGGACCAGCTGCTGCAAAGCGTGGAGGTACTCGATAGCCAGTACCGCCGCGCCGAGTTGTCACCGGCGCTGCGTCGCAATGTGGAGGAGGTACGGGAGACGAAGTCCTTCTTCTTCTGTCTCATTGACGGGTCCATGACGGCGGAGTACAACCCTGCGGCGTATGCCCGTGCGCCGGAGGACGTACTGCAGCTGCGTCCTGTTAAGGACGTGCTGTGCCCAATCTGCCTCGAGCCATTCCACGTGACTTCTCGCTGCCCAAAAGGGACAACCGAGCCGTGGGATTTATCCGTCGCACGTCTCGTGTTGGAAGAGCACAACCTTCTTAGTTTCAAATACCCGGAGGAACGCTATGTCCTCGACAACGCGCTGCGTTCCATTGATGAGGACGACCGCAAAGCAAAAGAGTTCCGAAAGAATGAACTCTGCCTGGCGGTGAAGCTCGTGCACGATGGGCGCGTTCTGTACTGCAGGTTGTGCAACGTGATGGGCCACGGTGCCCGCCGATGCGAAGAAAGCGCGCGTCGCACACTGCACCGCCACCACATCAAGGAGGTGGACATGCGCCTTAATCCGCATGTTGTGCAGCGCTGCATCAAGCAGCTCCGCAGCGAGAATAACGAGCGGGAGGAGCGGCTGCTCACAGACGCGTGGGAGCTGCTCGGTAAAGGGCACACTTACCCTGAAAACTTCTACACCGCCATTCGCGAGCTCGAGGACGCCCGCATTCCGCTGGCGGCGGCACGCTACAGTACCGATGCAGTGCAAGGATTTCTGCTGTTTATTAAATCTAATGATCTTCTGCAGCACCTCCAACCGTTACGCGATGAGCGGTTTCCGGATGTTTGCCTCTTTTGTGACTCCTACTATCACGGCTCTGAGGTTTGCGAAAGCGCCCACGCGGAAGAACGCGGGTTCCTCACTGAACTGCGGCGCTACGGACTGACGCTGTGGCAATACCTGCTTGCCCCGGCGCGGTACAATGAACGCTTCCCGACGGACTACACCAAAGGTCGTGAGACGGTAGTGGGACTTGCGCGGCAGTTCGAGGAGGACTACAGCCCTGGTGGTGTAGCGCGTGTGCGGTTCCTTGAGAACAATGGCCTCGATGGCGCTGAAGAGGGTGCTGCAGCAGCAGCTGGAAGAACTGTTTCGCGAGGAAGTTCACAGCACTCCTTCTACGGTGGGTCATCGTACGGCATGTCCTTCTCGCAGCTGGTCCTGCGCCCTTCTGATGGCCACGATGTGGGGGAGAGGAACGATGCGGCTTCTGTTGGTTCGGCCCTCAACAACAGCACCCACGCTGTGTTGGGAACAGCGGGGTCGTACGACTGGACGCTCAACGGCGGCAGCGGCAACAACGACCCGACGGCAGCGGTGGTGCATGTTGGGACTGGCGGCAAGCGCGGCCGCGACGACAACGGCGACGCGGAGGATATCGAATCCCCCGCCAAGTCGCTGAGTGGGGAGGACGAAGGCGATGATGGTGGCGACGACAAGACCCGCTTTTCGGCGCAGCGCACTCGCGTGGAGGTTCCGTCGGCGGAGGAGGCGTAATGAACGTAAACTCCAGCAGAAAAAAAAAACAAGAAATGGAAAAGAAAGGTTGTGTATGCGTCGTCTGCAGAGTAGTGGTGGTGGCGGTGTTGTGAGGGGTGGAAATTCCAGTTGAGAGGGGAAAAGGCTAAGAAGGAAGCGTGTTAACGAGAGAGGCGTGTACTACAAAGGCGCAAGGTCCCTCCCCTCACCGTCCGCTGCTCGGTTGATGTCAGAGAGCGAGAGGGGGGATGAAGGGGGTGGGAGGCGTGCGAGAAGGTGGGAGAGCGGGAATGTGCTTGTCTCTGCACTCTTGCTCGCGCGCGCGCGCGCGCCTGATAAAGAGGTGGGGTCAACACAAGCACACTGACAGAGAGGAAGCGAGGGAGGCTGCATGCACGCAAACACGCACACACACATACACATACACAAAGCTGGCGCGGAACTGAGAGAATAACGACGAGGAATGCCACCTGTCGGCGGTGGTGATTCATTCCAGAAGAACGGACTGAAAGAGACCCCCAAAACAAAGAAGAAATAATTAGCAGTCTGCGTGAGGCTCTGCTGCACTGCACCAGCCCACTTGATTTCTGCGAGCGTCAGTTGTATATATATATATACATATATACATGCGTGTGTATGTGTGTGTGTGTGTGTTTCTGTCTGGCTGTCCCCTGTGTACAAGTGTGGGTGTATCTGTATGTGCTGTGCGAGGAAATGTGGTTTTGATGCTGTTATAAATACTGGCCCCCAGCACGAGTGGATGGTGGTCTCCGGCGCGTGGAGAGAGAGTGGGGGGGGGGGGGGGGGGGGGGGGGGGGAGGGGAGTAAGAGAGAATTGGCTGGTGAGAGTATTGCAAGGCGAAGCTGTAACCAAAGGAAAAGGGAAGAAAACACAGAAAAGGACAAAATACGAATTAAAAAAAAGGAAAAGAGACGGAGTTAAAGAAATCAACCAAGTAAACTGTGTCTTGCCTTATTGCCCATCACCACCACCACCACCACCACCACTGCTACTACTACTGATTACAGCAGTAACACTATTCCATCAGGTGGTGCTGTTGTACTGTGCATCAGTCGGGGTGCGGTGAGTTGCGGGTAGGGCACATACGGCGCTGCTGCTTCTGTGTGGCCGTGAAGGAAAGGGGCCGGCAGCGTTGTATGTGCTCTTCTGCTCAGCTTCGGTGTGTGGCATATGTGTGTGTCAAACAATGATACTGTGTATTGCTTCTTGTGTGTCTGTGTGTGTGTGTGGCACTCCCACTCAGAAACAACAACAACGATATGATGATGGTAGGGACGTGAAGGCGGGGGCTCTTGGTGGGCGGCACCGGGGCGACGAGGGGAATGGTGTGCAGTGCGGTGCGCGCGCGCGTGTGTGTATAGGTACACAAGCATACATATATATATATATATATATATATACGGCGAGACGGGGTGTTTTGTGTCAATGTGGACTGTGGGGATGTCGGCTCGCGATGCCGGGGACAGGACATATATGTCTGCGTCTGTGTGCATGCATGCGTTCCTCGGTCATCGCCTGAGTGGGTCTCCATCCAGCGCAGCTCCTTCTTGAACAATGACACGCAGTTTTCGTTGCGTTTTGATGTTCGCCTGTGTGCAGTTGGTGGCGCTTCTACCATTATTATTATTATTGTTGTTGGTAACTGGGGTGATGCTTTCGTGTGTGTGTGTGTGTGTTGTTGTTGTTGTTGTTTTTTTTTTTACATTCTTCTCCTTATTTCCTATGCTGTGACCTGCACCACTCACTTCGTTGTCTGGCCTCCGTTTAGTTTCCCTCCAGTGTGGGCCGCAGTGGCGGCGGGGATGCACAATAGAGAGAGAGAGAGAGGCAGTGAAGGAGAGACGCTATCACCATGATGCGCACATACTTTTGTTGGTGGTATGCCTTCAAGAATGCGTGTATGAATGAGGTGCGGCTCAGCTCGGGCAGCACACCAGCGTTCCTTCTGCGTGTGTGGTGTGTGACGAGCGGTGGTGCAAACGTCATGTGTAAAGAACCCGTGATGATGAACGAAAGTGTGCTTCGGCGTGTCTTTGTGTCTGTGTGTGTGTGTGTGTTCCTTGCTGTTGGTTGTGTGTCGGTGCGGGTGCGGGTGCGAGAGAGCTACACGGTGGTGCCTGCGCGTGTTCATCCCCCGTCCAGCCCCAGCCCCCTCTAGACCCTCTCGGCCAATGCGCACACAGGACACGCTTTTACGCCGTTGGATAAAGCGGAAATACGAAGGAGACGACAAAAAAAAAAGAAAATTGCACATCCACCCAAGCATAAAGAGAAATACGAACACGCAAGAAGGAGTGAGTGGGTGTGTGCGTGTCTGAAGAAACGAAGACAGATGGCATTCTCATATGTGTGTGAGTGTGTGTGTGTGTGTGTGTGTGTGT